TGGAACACATGGATATTACCAAATGATGGGTTTCCTCCTTTGTAATGCTTTGCCTTTTTTACTGCAGCTGTCTTTAGCTGTTTGTTCATGGCCTTTCTGCCTTAAATATTGTCTTCAGCAAGTAAAATGCATGCTCGATCAGGTTGAGATTTACTTGGCCATTCTAAAATATTCCACTTCTTTGCCTTAAAAAAAATCCTGGGTTGCTTTCTCAGTATGTTTTGGGTCATTGTCCATCTGTAAAGTGAAGCACCATCTAACCAACTGAATTTGACTGAACTGAGCAGCCAATGTATGCTTATACACTTCAGAATTCATCCGGCTGCTTCTGTCTTCTGTCACATAATCAATAAACACTAGTGGCCCAATGGCATTGGAAGCCATACATTTCCATGCCATCACATTGCCTCCATCATGTTTTACAGATGATGTGGTATACTTCGGATCGTGAACCGTTCCAAACCTTCTCCATACTTTTTCTCCCTACCATTCTAGTACAGGTTGATTTTAGTTTCATCTGTCCAAAGAATGCTGTTTCAGAAGTTGGCTGGCTTTTTTTGATAGTTTTTGACAGTCTTATCTGGCATTTATACTCTTGAGGCTTATGAATGGTTTGCAACTTGTGAACAACTTTGCAACTTTGTAGTGAGTTGGGGAAGCAGGGACCCCTTCCTGCTTCCCCGCTGTGTGAGCAGTAAGAGGCTGCATTTAGCTCCACCCCCACACCTGGCTCCGCCCCCACACTCTCTGTGCAGGTCTCCTTCTCCTGATCCCAGCCTCTGCCTGTGTGAGCTGTGTCCTGGTGGCACCCCCCTACCAGATGGCACCCGGGGCGGACCGTCTCCCCCATCCCCCCTTAGTACGCCACTGATTATATGTATCATTTTAAAAGAAAACATGAGTAAGCTTAGCCTTGTGCTTAGAGTCATTGTTATGCTGTCCAAGAGCGTTCCATGCGCAGCCTTCATGCAGAAGAATGCAAATTGTCTGCCAGAATTTTCTGATAACATGCTGCATTCATCTTACCATCAATTTTCACAAGATTCCCCATGCTTTTAGAGCACACACCCCCCCAAAACATCAGTGAGCCACCACCATACTTCATAGTGGGAATGGTATTCATTTCATTAGAGGCTTTGTTTACCCCTCTCCAAACATAACACTTATGGTTGTGACCATAAAGCTATATTTTGGTCTCGTCACTCCAAATTACAGTGTTCCAGAAGCTGTGAGGCGTGTCAAGGTATTGTCGTGCATATTGTAACCAGACTTTTTTGTGGCATTGGTGCAGTAAAGGCTTCTTTCTGAAAACTCGACCACAAAGCTGATTTTTGTTCAAGTATCCTCGTATTCTGCTCCTTGAATCAACCACACCATCTGTCATGTCCCTGAGCAGGTCAGATAGGAGACAATTGCCAGGGTTATTGGTTGAAACTTTATTGGTACTTTTAGACATAATAAATAACTTGAGAGAAAGAAGAATTAAGGCAATATGCCACAAAACAGGATACTTGAAAGTAAATAAAGTTTTTGATATCAAAGTAGGATTGAAGTTATTCAAGTAGATTAATACCTTCTGGAATGCTACAATGCAGCCAAGTTCAGGATGATGCAGGGTTGAAGTAAAAAGGCAGGTTAGTACCTTCAGGTATTAAGCAATGCAAGTAAGTACTGGATGATGCAGGTTGAAGTAGTTAAAGCGGTTAAATACCTTTCAGTATAAGGCAATACAGGTTGCTTACAGGATCATGCAGAGTTGAAGTAGTTAAGGCTGGTAAGTACCTTTCAGTATAAGGCAATACAGGTTGCTTACAGGATCATGCAGAGTTGAAGTAGGTAAGTACCTTTCTGTATAAGGCAATACAGGTTGTTTACAGGATCATGCAGAGTTGAAGTAGGTAAGTGCCTTTCAGTATGAGGTAATACAGGTTGCTTACAGGATCATGCAGAGTTGAAGTAGTTGAAGCAGGTAAGTACCTTTCAGTATAAGGCAATGTAAATAAGTACAAGATGATGTAATTCAGGTTGCTTACAGGAGCCAGGATCAGAAGTTCTTTGTTGGAACACTGACTTCAATGTCAAGGCGACGTGGATTATAGGGTGCAGCCTTTTATAGCAGACTTGATTGTAGGATCTCCAGGTAAGAGCCTGAGATGTCTAGTGCCTAGGGAGGCCACTAGAGGAGAAAATCAGGAATTGAAATTAAAGGGCAAGTAATAAATGAAAAAGTCTTGCTTGTCAGATTGGAATCTGACACCGTCGTTTTCCAGAGCAGCCTGTATTTCTCCTGAGGTTATCTGGGGTTTTTGCTTTGTATCCTGAACAACTCTTCTGGCATTTGTGGCTGAAATCTTTCTTGGTCTACCTGCCCTTGGCTTGGTATCAAGAGTTCCTCAAATTTTACACTTCTTAAGAAGTGATTGAACAGTACTGACTTGCATTTTCCATCTTTATAAAGTTCCATTACCTTGTTACGCAGGTCTTTTGACAGATCTTTTCTGCTCCCATTGCTCACTATCTAGCCTGCTTAGTGCATCCACGTGAGAGTTAACAAACTCATTGACTATTTATACACAGACACTACTTGCAATTTAAAAAGCCACAGGTGTGGGAAATTAATCATTACTTGTCATTTTAACCTGTGTGTCACCTTGTGTGTCTGTAACAAGGCCAAACATTCAAGGGTATGCAAACTTTTGATCAGGCCCATTTGGGTGATTTTTGTTGTAATTATGATTAAAAAAGAAGATGGGGCGGGGCCAAGAATCCATGCGGTTCCCCCGCCATTTCACATTTCTCTGGGCCAGCAACCTTTGATCTAGTAAATACCAACCGCATTTAGCCTCATCGTCCAGCAAAAGTACCCTACCTACTTGGAGGAACTCTCTGGGCACATGCCGATGCCCTTCTTATTTGGCTTGCATGCCAATCATCATTCTGCAGGACCCAAAAGAGCCATAGGCTGCAAAGCCTTGAGATCCTAACAGAGCTTGATGACTGGGCCGTCTTATGAGACATACCCGGACTGGTTCAAGATGGGCCGCACAAAGCCAAAACAGCCAGCAACGTCTCAAGAGATGCGAGATATTGGCAAGCTGCTCAAATGCACACCAAAATCGAAGGCAGCGGAAGCTATTACAAGACATACCTCCACAGACCCATCGGACGATAAGGCCAGTGTGCCTCCCGAGGGTCCTGAAGACACTCTTTCCGGGACCTCGGGCATGCCCCCGAAGACAAAGATTTCCAACCTAGCCACCAAGGACGAAATAACCATCCTCTACGAGCAAATCAGAAAACTCTTTGACGCTAATATAGCGCTGATGAAGAACCGCATGCATGCGTGGTTTTGGTACTCATACGAAACTTGGCGGTTCTGGTGGAAAAAGTGCACAACCTACAAACCACCCATGATAACACCAACCTGAAAGTAGATTCCCTTGAAGACAGGCACCGGAGGAAGAATCTCAAAATCAGAGGGGTAGCAGACATGGTGGCTTCCGAGGAACTCCCACACTTGATGAGAAGATTAATGGCCTTGGTGTTCCCCACAAAGCTTTCAAAATCACTTGTTATATGGGGAGTATACCAAATTGCCAGGTCACCGCGAGCCCCATCTGACTCCTCTAGAGATGTCATAGTCCGCTTTCAATCTCTTGCTGACAAACACAGGGTGATAACAGGCCTTCGTGGCAAAACTCCTCTGAACTTTGAAACTCCTATCTTAACCTTTTATCAGGACCTCACCTGCTTTACTTTACAATGGAATGCAACCCATTATACGAAAGCTGCTCGAAGCAGGTATCCCATACCAGTGGTCCAACTCTAGGGCCCTTGTGGCAGAACGTCAAAGCCATGTTACCAGAGGAAGCTACGCTCGGTGTGGCAGCTTCACCCCAAGAGAACCAAGGTCCTGAACCCAGCCATACTTGGGACTTCTCAAAAGTGTCACCTTTTGTCCCCAGTAGAGGACAGGACTCTGTGACTTAATCCTACAGTTAATATAAGCTATTCACAAGTGTTTCTTTAGTTGATTCTTGTTTTCCCTCCTTTGCTGCTATTTTGCTTTCCACTGATGGCCAACTTTACTGTGGCACCAAGGTATCTGAGTCACTCTCCGTAATTTAAGCCCATGCTCTCTAGCATTCGGCCTTTAAGCCCTATTCGCTATACAATATAGCGACTTACTCATGATCAACTCACTCCAGAGTCACCGAATCCCCCCTCTTCCGTTTCCCCCTTGTTTTAGGGGTACTCTTGCTACTTGACAGTAGCAAACTGATTGTTGGCCGCTTCGACTAACACTAATAGTCATCTCTCCCCCAATAGGCTTTTAAATATGAACTGACTAGTCTCATGCAGCCTTACAGATTGGTTGGATCCCACGGTAGGGGCAATTCACCATATTCCAACCACAGCAAGCCTCACCAAACCAAGCCACGACAGGAACAGATAGCCTTTCAAACCTCTCACCCTGTCAGCAACACTGCCTAAGCTAAGGTTATGACAGCATGTTATTGTTTCTGAAAATGTCATGCCTTGTGGTCAAATTTTCCTTTTATGAGCCATTACTGCTACCATGTTTCACTAGACAGTTTAGCCTGAATGATTTTATTTTTGTAAACTTTTTTTTTCTTCTTTCTTTTAACTCCTCCTAGAAAGTATATATCTAACTATAAAATCCCCACTCATTCTTAACTAAACAAGCCTAGCCAACCTAAGCAAGTGCCATAGTCTGCTCTCCACATGTATAGCTAATCATCCCAGTGTTCTAACCACTAATAATTGTGGTAAACTGCAGCCTCTTAGCTGTATTGGTTCTACTTGATATTTCTGTTCATAAAAATTGTGCCATAGTTATGATTGTCATGCTATTATATCACTATGTTTATTTTCAGTGTTGACTAGTGATGTCCCGAACGGTTCGCCGAACGGTTCACCGTGAACGGTTCGCCACGGACTCATCATTGAGTAAACTTTGACCCTGTACCTCACAGTCAGCAAACACATTCCACCCAATCAGCAGCAGACCCTCCCTCCCAGACCCTCTCACCTCCTGGCCAGCATCCATTTTACATTCATTGTGAAGCTGCATTCTTAGTGAGCTGTCCAGGAGGTGGGAGGGTCTGGGAGGGAGGGTCTGCTGCTGATTGGCTGGAATGTGTCTGCTGACTGTGAGGTACAGGGTCAAAGTTTATTCAATGATGAGTCCGTGGCGAACCATTCGTGGTGAACCGTTCGTGGTGAACCGTTCGGCGAACCGTTCGGGACATCAGTAGTGTTGACCAATGTTATCGTGGCATAGTCGGCATTCCTGTAATATTGTGCCCAACAAAGTAAAGAATTATAAAAAAAAGGAGCCAAATAACTGTGATAATAAATAAAAAAATTTTTTTGCATGATCAGTCATATTTTCTAAATCAATGCCACAATTTCACAATTTCTGCCAAATTTTCTTTTGAGCACAACTGTATATAAAGGATCATAAGAGAAAAGATGTCAGCAGAACAGTATATAAAAAAAAGAAAGGAAGGCAGCGCCACTACAAACCACATAAATTAAAAGAGCACAGAATAGGCAGACTAGAATGCAATATATATAATAAATAATAAGCAAATAGAAGTCCAGAGTAAATAGTCTGACTGGTAGATGAATCAAACAACGAGGTATATCTTTGTAGAGGTGAATACAGTCTTTTGTAGTGGGGGATTCTTCAGAGTTGTGTAGATGCGTCTTTGTACATCATATGAAATGAGAAAATAACAACTGATGGTATAGTATGTCCCGAAGGGGGTAGAAGCAATAAAAGAGTATATGGTCCTACTTACGTTTTCAAGAGCTATGAATTTAGCTCTAGTGTTGATAACGTACAGTGGTATAATCCCCACTTATGGGATACGTGAGGTCTTAGTATTCTTTCTTGATTAGGGAACCATATGTGGAAATAAAAGCAGGAACAACAGTGGTGCTCAAAGTATAAAATGCCAGAGGTGAGAAGATAAAAAACCAAGTGGTTACTCACATTTAGTTGAACAGACTAACTGTTCAATGAATACAGCTTGAGTGGTATAATCCCCACCTAGGATTCTTGGGAGTAATATCCTCACTGGAAAGTAAAAACACTTCTGGTGCCGGATAAAAGGATGGTAGTAGTAAAAAAGTAAAATGATAATAGTAATAAAAAGTAAGATGGCTAACTCACAGTAAGAAAGTGGCCAAAATACCTTTATTTAAAACAACATAGTTTAAAAAAACCACAACGCGTTTCGTCGTTAGGCTTTATCAAGTGGAGAGTAAATAGTCTGACTGGTAGATGAATCAAGATATACCTCGTTGTTTGATTCATCTACCAGTCAGACTATTTACTCTGGACTTCTATTTGCTTATTATTTATTATATATATTGCATTCTAGTCTGCCTATTCTGTGCTCTTTTAATTTATGTGGTTTGTAGTGGCGCTGCCTTCCTTTCTTTTTTCTGTACCATTTCTGTTGTAAGGCCTGTGAGGGAGCCCTACTTTTTAGGTGTGCTGCCACTTTTTACTTAGTTATTATTGTTTCTGTTGTATTTTGTATAGATAGAGAGCGCTGATCCCTTTCTTCTGTTCTGAACAGAACAGTATATACCTGCTATACCTGCTTTTTGTTCTTTCCTGTTGTGTGTTTGTATATAGTACTTACTAAATGTTATCTTTTTAGAATAAAAGTTAAGTTTCATTTTTATTATCTGCTAGGCCTCGCTGATGAGGCCTTAACAAAACAAAATGATTGTCTGGGGTTGCTGTATCTCTCGTTCAGAGAGAACTTGCCAGCATTTCAGTTCTGGACTGCCCTTACGGGTGGGATCAGTCTGATGCAATGGCGCAATGTTATAGATTCACACTGTAATGACACAAGTTTTGAGACCTTACAAAATGCAAACTATTGAGTTTCTCTAAGCTTTTGTCTGTTAGAGTTCTCATATTCTCTGCTTATGTTTATTTATTTCTTTTATTTTATTCTTCTACAATCTAATTTGTTCCATATGAAGTTGCTTATTTTCCTGCCCAAAAAAATCTGATTCTTCTGTGTAATGGACCGCCTGGCAACCCGACCGGGTACCTCCATCAAACGCTGCTTCCTAGTACTTGCAAGTACCATAAGCACTGCACTGGAACACCATAACCACTGTAAACCCCACAAATCGTCCTCCACCCACCCTGGACCCAAGACCAGGATCCAGATTCCAGTGGGTAGACCTCTCCTAGTCCAGTGAGCGTAGCAGGAAAGCTCTTATAAGAGCTAGTGATTATACTCAGGGGAGTATTGTGATTATAGCAATCCCCAGAGTGAATATAGTTCTCCAATTCCCCAAACATGAGCCAAGACTTAAAAAAAAAAAAGTTACCTGCGCTCTCTCTTTAATCCCTATGTATATTTAGACAAATGGAGATCATTTAGTTACTCCAATGGCCACTGGAGGGAATGCCCGCCTAGACTTCACGAATGGGTAAATTAATCTCTCTTTAATGGGAGCCACACTGGCCTTTTATGCAAGTCCCCAAGCAAGGTGTACACCCACATGGACCTTGTTGAGGACAGGGACACAAACTTACAAACCAATAATAACACATTTACAATGTAAGGCACTCCCACACATAGCACACCTCTGCTTGGGAGATAATTGGATAAGTAACTGTACTAATTCTAATCCAATTATCTCTTAGAAAAAACATACTAAAAAAAAAAAAAAAGTACAAAAGTCCCCTAAAAATACATAAAACCTCACAAACCCCAAGATATCCAAAAATCACCCAGATCAGTTCAGGGGTTCAAGAATTTCCTGGAAGTCTTATTTTTGACCGACGGTGCACATGGTGCCATGCCCAAAACAGTTCCAGAAAATTAGTGCTAACGGTCGGTTTCTCTGTCTGGAGTACAAAAGTACATACTTCACATGAACAGAGCCTTTTAGAGTATTTTAGCCAGGTCTTTAAACAGTGGCCATAGTCACAGGGTAAGAGGCTGGCCAGCAGGCTCCTCCAAGAACCAGTGACGAGGTTCAGATCGTCACATTGTCCAATCCCTCTCTTTTTTTATGACCCCACGGGCAGAACTCCAAATCACAAAGCAAAGGAAACAGCGTGTTTGCTGCTCATTTAGTTTGATTCATGATTTGGTCATGTGGTGATTTAGAATTACAATCAGACATAATTCATACGAATCACAATAAGCTGAATGCACAAGTCTATTATTTGATTGATCATATTTTAGGAACGATAGCCTTTATTATGTAAGTTTTTTGCAAGAAATCCCAGTTTGTAGTCGCAGTTGTACCACTCTTTCGTGGAGCTGATGCAATCTGTGTGTCACTTCGATGGCTGCCAATCCCCAGCCCCCCTAAATAGATATTTTTTTTTCACCTGTCAATAAATGCATCGGCATGTAGTCTATGTTGAGGAATTTAAAGATAAGTGAGAGCAGAAGACACTTCCCACAGGCGGTCCTTTTGCTCTCCACACATAACAACCACAGCGCATATACTGTGTTTGCTATGATAACCCACTAGTTGATGCAGCAAGCATTGACTAGGGCAGGGATGGGCAACCTTCGGCACTCCAGATGTTGTGGACTACATCCCCCATAATGCTCTAACATCCATAATGCTGGCAAAGCATCATGTAAGGTGTAGTCCAAAACATCTGGAGTGCCGAAGGTTGCCTTTGCCTGGACTAGGGAGTATAACAATGGAGTGACTGATGTCACAGGCATAATAGAGGAAGTGTCCCAATCAGGACAAATGGAAGAAGAGATCAGGTGGAACATAGGCGAAGTGGCGGTTGGTGTTACAGGGGAGCAACACCCAAGAAATTGTGGATGTGGCTGGATAGCAGGTAAGATGAGCTAAAATCTCGAAACTTTACATTAACCCCTTCAGGACGGAGTCAATAGTGCACGTTCTGATCAAAACAAAACGTAAACAACAACTGGAATTTGCGCTATATGTCTGTTCAACCGTAATTCACCGCGGTCACATTAAGTGCACCCACACTTATTATATATTATTTTGTTCAGGAGAAACAGGGATTTAATTTATCATTAACTATTCATATATGGAACATAATTTATTATGAATAAAATTTAAAACAATTTTAGAAAATAAGATTTTTTTTTAAATTTGTATTTCCGTCTGACACTTTAGCTGTAAATGTCATAATACTGTTAGACTTTACTGCAAAAAATGCACATATTTGTAATCAGCGATGTCTCACGAGTAACAGTACCCCCCATTAACAGGTTTTATGGTGTTTTGGAAAGTTTCAGGGTCAAATATAGAACGTTCCATTTTCACATTGAAATTTGCCAGATTAGTAATGTTACCTTTGAGACGGTGTAGTAGCCCAGGAATGAGAATTACCCCCATAATGGCATACCATTTGAAAAAGAAGACAACCCAAGGTATTGAAAGTGGGGTATGTTTAGTCTTTTTTAGTAGCCACTTAGTCACAAACACTGGCTAAAGTTAGCGTTCATATTTGTTTTTTGTGTGAAAAAAGCAAAAAAACTAATATTTGGCTAGTAATTCTCATTCCTGGGCTACCACACCAGTTTGAAACACTAATATTTGAGTTCAGCGAAGTCTCCCGAGTAAAACAGTACTGTTGGTGTCTTGGAGAGTTACAGGGTCAAATATAGTGCTTGCGAATTAAATTCTCTGCACTTTCTCCCTGTGTTGTCAGGCATGTCAATCAAATTTTAATTAATCAAATCACATAATTATGTTAACAGATTACTTAAATGTACACGTAGAATTTTAATATATATGCATTTATAGGTATTTAAATTCTACGTGTATACTAATGTAATCTTTTATGTAATTATATGTGTTTATCTATATATATATTTGTGGTTATTTGTATTTTACATATAGATATATATATATATATATATATAGAATGTCATTCTAAGTGTATTTTGTTACCAATATATATATATTAATAACAAAATACAGTTAGAATGAAATTACATATGAATATATAATTTATATAAAATTTTGTTTCAATATTTTATTTATTAATTTTATTATTTTATGTATTGTGATAAAGTGAAGGCAGATAGGCCTTTTAACCCCAGGGGAAGTACGTGTAGTTTGTGTGTTGCACAACACAAAACATTGTTTAGTTATGGGC